AAATGAAGGCTGTTCGAGTGACGCCTTAAATAATTATAACAAACAACTTCATTCCGACCAAAAATCATTGGGTCAACATATTCCACTTGATACAATGCGTCAGATATCTGGCATTCCACGTGCATTCCCTGATAGTGATAAAAATAAAGCTAAAGATGTAATAGAGAACTGGATATATCCTTCAGAGCAAATGTTTTTCAATGCAATGAAACGCAAAGACTGGAATCCTCGAGAAGAAGATATGCGCGTTATTGTACCAATACATAATGCAGTGAATGAGAAAGCCTGGAAAGAAATATTAGAATGGGAAAAATTGCACGAAAAGTAAGTTATGAATCCGTGATACAGATCTTCTAATGAAGTAGATTTGTCTATCTGGCGCACACGATTAATTGTCACATATTGATAAAGTCACTGTGGTGGACCGAAATTGGTAAAGTTTCAAGGTAAAGCAAAAAATATTACACCAAAAGCCAGATTGTTCAATTTATTAGGGTATGTCAGTTTATTAAATATTAGATTTATTATTAGGATGTTCATTGTTTGACATTTACACGTTTTCGATTAATCATGTTTTATGAAACAAGTTATAAGCTACCTTTTGATAGACATGATTGGGTAGTGGACCGATGTGGTAAACAAGTTACGTATGTTATTGATTTTTATTCTGGACAACCAGACCCAAAGCTTCCACATTCCGTGAGCTTTTATTTGGATGTTCGTCCAGCTTTTACTTTGGATGGAGCGATTGACAGATTCCGAAGATGGATGTCTTTATTTATGGAAAGAAACAATCAATCTGGAGAGAAATGTACGTATAAAAGCGGATTTACACATAATAGTGTATAGTAACATTATCATTTATTATATTTATTAAATAACAGAAATGCATTTGGGCCAAAAGTATTGATTAAGTTTCTATATATACGTGTTTATGGTAAAACTATATACTTTTGCAAATGGCTTGGAATGGCATCCAAAAGATTTTTACTTTCTAACCATTTTCGACCTGCAAATGATAGTCATGATAGTCATGATGAGTAGGGTGAACAAATGTCGTTAATTATAACTTTATGAATGTAATCTTTCACACTTACTAAATAATCGTGACTGATATCTATAAGCACCATCACATAAGATTGTGACAATTTTTTTACCTAAATGATCAATCCGAATATATTAAATATATTAACATAAAGTTATGATTTAATAAACCATAATAGCAAATAAATAAACTAAATAAATTAAATAACCTGGCCCCAATTTCTTTGCCATTTCTACAGCCGCAACAACATTTAATGCTGTTGATGCACCGATATAGATACCCTCTTCATCCAATAATCTATATACCATCTCAATTGATTTTTCATCTGAGATGTACAATGCATCATCTATCAAATCCACTTCACCAGAAAGGTTATTGGTAACACGACCTTGTCCAATACCTTCAGTAATTGAACTTCCGGAGCGTTCCATCAATTTACCACCACTCTTAAAATATGTGTATAAAACGGAGCCTGGTGGGTCTGCAATAAATACTTTGATATTGGGATTTTTCTCTTTTAGAAAGCGAGTTACGCCAGCGAGAGTTCCACCGGTGCCAGTGGCACATGTAAATCCATCAATCTGACCGTTAGTTTGTTCCCAGATTTCTGGGCCAGTGGTTTCAATGTGTGCACGTCGATTTGCGGTATTATCAAACTGGTTAGTCCATACAGCATTCTCAAGTTTTTCAGCGTGACGGCGAGCTTGATGGTTGTAATTATCGGGGTTATCAAAGGGAACGGCTGGTACCGGATGAACTTCGGCACCTATTACTCATAATAAGATACATGAATTGTTGATCAGAAAGAAACATCTATATTCAAAAAATTGAATTCCATTAGATTTTGCTTTAATTCTTTTATTACCAAGCATCCTCAGAAGATCAATTTTTTCTTGACTTTGCGTATTTGGCATATAAATAACACATTTATACCCCTTTGCTCTGCATACATGCGCAAGACCAATGCCAGTGTTTCCTGTCGCAAGTGTTTAATCATATCAATGTGGTTGTATTATAAGAAACAATTTAACTCATTTTACGTATTATCATTTACCTGCAGTGCCTTCTATAACGGTACCACCAGGTTTGATAAGACCTACATATGTATAAAGAATATATAATATTGGTTTTTTGTGACTAAACATATGAACGAATTCATTTCTTAATTTACCTTTTTCTTCTGCCTCTTTGACCACATATAACGCAGCTCTGTCTTTCACAGAGCCACCAGGATTCATGAATTCTGCTTTAGCATAAATTTCTGAGCCGGTTTCTTGACACAATTTTTTTAATCGTATCTAAAGTAATGCGATCATGATGATTTTTTGTGATTTTTAATCTATACCTTCATCGAAAAAATTTCACTTACCAATGGTGTATTACCAATTGCGCCGATGAATCCTTCCATAATCTTTTATGTTTCAATTTCTCGTTAAATTAATGCGGTGACTTATCGAAATTATTAATGATTAATGAAATACCTTTAAAGTTGAAACTGTTGAATACGTTCGCCTGAAAAGCGGTGGTAGTAATTGAAACATAATGGGCATCGACTTTTAAAAGCGGGAAAATTTATCCGGAAGTAACGATTGACAAATTCCCATATCCGTTTTTTTTTTTTTTATGAGCGTAATACGCAGATACTATTCATAATAACAGATAAATGAATTTAAAAAACCTGGTCGTAAACTGTTTTCGGAAACTTTTTGTAAAACCCGTGATATGATCTGCATGCGTTAATATCAATGCATGAATTAAAATCCGATTGGAAGATTATTTTATTCTTTTATCTAGAGCAAGCATATAATAGTATCATGTGAAAGTACATAAATAAAGGGGTAATACTTCTTTTAACGTCACGTTTGTATGTTGATTGTTTAATCTTTGTTTTGACTCGAAATAAACCCTAAATGGTATCGCTTAACATTAATTACTACAAAGGGAATTATTTAATATTAGTTACTACGGAGAAGTCATTTAACATTAATTACTATAAAGGAATAGACTACTATTTCAAAGTTATTTATGGACAAATGATTTAGGGAATACCAGATAATTTGTAAAATATAACGAAAGATGCAGTTTCTTATTCGTCGGTTCTGTAGTAGATGAACACAGCATGAATTTTAAATTAAGTTTGCCAACCAAGTCTCGCTGTTCGTATATTCGGCTAATCAAATTTGTTAAGGCTAAAAACTTATTCAAAAACATAAAAATCTAATCACTAGATACTAAGATATAAATAGTTTTTTTTTTTTTTAATATTAAAGTAACCACTTGGAGGTCTGGCACGGTTTATTAACTTCTCAGTTCAATTATCGAGATACCGAATAGGTTGACCCAATGATTTTTGGTCGGAATGAAGTTGTTTGTTATAATTATTTAAGGCGTCACTCGAACAGCCTTCATTT